CCCTTTCGGTACCAATTAATTTGTCGGTTGTCTTAGTTGCGAAAATTTAAAATTTAAATTTAAATTTAAATTTAAAAACTCGATGCAAATCACTTACCTTTGATCGATTAAAGTTAGCGCTAAAAAGGGGTAAACAAAAAAAATATGTTAGACGATAAAATAGTTAAATAAAAATGAAAGGATAAAATAATAACAAAAAAAGTAGTAATATAAAAAAATAAATCAAAGAAATTAAATTAAAATTAAATAAATAATAAATAAATATTAAATAAATAAGAAAAATATTATTTTAAAAGTAATAAAATGGAAACAATATGAAGTAAAAAAGAAAATAAAAAGAATAATAATTAACAAGCATGATAATAATAAAAAAGTCAGAATTTAGGGGGTCAAATTGCAAAAATGTAAAATTTAAATGGGGACCGAATTGAAACAATTGAAAATCCTGTGGCCGAATTGCATATGGTGACTGAAATGGATTACGACTCAAACTTACAGGGATCGCGGAAAGGATTTAACTATCCTGTAATTACACGGTAGTCCCTGGTATATAAATACCCAAAAACAGATATTTCTCATTCATTCTCACCATTTCACTCCAGCTCTCATCTTTCTCAACCGAGAGAAAACTCTCGGCCAGCCCCCCCTTGGGCGATTACCGGTCACCAGTCCGGTGGCCCTTCCGCCGCCTGAATCGCCGCTAGCGGCGGCCGGGAAACCTAAACCTTAGCAAAAGTACTCCCTTTAACCCCGTACACCCAAATCCGAGACCTAAAACACCAAAACTTATCCCTACCAGCGTGGATCTAGGTGTAAAGTTTCGATTTTTTACCCCTCTCGCCGGTGTCCCTTCGTTTCTTGAGGCCTTTGGCTTTGTGGTTTCTCTACGTGCTTGTTTTGGTTTGTTTACTGAGAGGCTTCGGCCTTTGGCTTGTATTTTTGTGATGATTTTTGTCTGTTGTTGATGGTCTTTTTGTTCGGTTGTGGCTCGATGATGCTTCTATTTTTATGGTCGTTGGTCTCTCGGTGTGGTACTGTATATGGTTGATGGTTGTTGTGTTGATGGTGTTTTGGGTACTGTGTGGTTTTGGATCTTGGTTCTCGATGATGGTATTGGTCCCCCCCTCTGTTGGTTGGCCGTGGGTTTTTATAACCCACGCCGGCCGTTGGGAGTCCCGACGATCTCGGGATCGTGGTTGGTTGGCCGGAGATTTCGGGATGGGTCAGTCCCGATCCCCTCGACCGGAAATCTCGGTGACTGGTGTGTGGTGGCGTTCAGGCTTCTGGTAACCTTGATTTGATCTTGACCGTTGGATTGGGTCAGATCCAACGGTCCAAGATTGGCCGCGGCTGATAGCTCTTTGTGGGTTAAACAAACCCTGATTCCCTTGCTATATTGGCCGTTGATCTCTTTGTTGATCCAACGGTCCCCTGTTGTGTGGCGCTGTGACTAAGTCTAGAAACCCTGATCTGCTTGGACCTCGTTCTGGACCCTGAACAGAAAAACAAAAACAAAATAATTAAATAAGAAATAATAATAATAAATAAAATAATTACAATAATAATAAATGATAATAATAAATAATAATAATAATAGTATAATATATATATATATAAATATTTTAAAAAACATATAATATATAATTTCCAAAATGTTTTTTTTAATTATATAATATATATATTTTAAAAAAATGCTTTAAAAAATTATATATTATATATTTTTAAAATATATTTTTTTAAAAACTATATAATATATAAATGTTTTCAAAATGTTTTCAAAACTATATCATATAAATTTTCAAAAATGTTTTTCAAAACTATATATATTATACGTTTTCAAAAATGCTTTTAAATATATATATATATATATATATATATATATATATATATATATATATATATATACATTTTCAAAATGTTTTCAAAGACTATATATTATATATATTTTTAAAATGTTTTCGAAAAAAAAACATATATTATATATCATATAATATATACTTTTCAAAAAGCTATTCTCAAAATTATATATATTATATGTATTTTAAAACATTTGTAAACTATATAATATATAGATATGTATATATAAATAAAAATCAGACGAAAATAGGTGTCTACATAATGCATACAAATTTGTTTCTTCCTTACCTTAATATATTTATTAAAAATATTATTTTTATTTAATAAAATTGAGAATTTAATTAAAAATAATATATAGATATATTATTATTACAATTATTTCTAAATATATAAGGTAAAATTATATTTTTTAGTTGGATCAAATATTTTTAGGGATGATAATTTTACCCTAATCCAACGGGTTTCAACCCGAGCGGACTCGGTCGGGTCAGATTTCTTTTCAAAAAATTGCATGTCTGGGTCAGGTTTTTTTAAGGAGTGAGGTCGGGTTCGGGTGGATGGTGAGAAAAATTCAACCCGACCCGACCCGAAGATAATAATGTAATTTTCTTTAAAAAATTATTTTTAATTAAATCATTATTTTTTATCGGATCGAATTCATACTCTAAAAAATTGTGTTGGTCAGAGTCGATGGATGATATATGTATTTTTTGGGATGGATCAGGTAGGGTATAAGATATAAAATTTTAGGGTTGAGTTTGGGTGGAGGATACATATTTTCGGATCAGGTCGAGTGGACCTAAAACCCGACCCATTGCCATCCGTACGTATTTTTCACCCTAAACACAAACCCGACCTGATTCAAACCCGTATTTTTAAAAAAACTTGACCTGATCTAATAGGATCGAGATTAAATCCCATGCCTATCCATGGTTGTGGAGCCTTTGAAATTTGATAAGATAATATGCAAGTTTTGAAATTCGCCAAATAAAATACAAAATTATAAGGGAATAAAAATATATTATCAATAAAAATCTAAATAAAAAATCTAAAATATATGATAATTTTGAAATTTTTACGGAGACAACAGCTCGCGATTATTCCACTTCGACCCATCCTTGAACCCAACTGACTCGATTTCATCTTTCACAAAATTTGTCTTGAACTCAAACTTCATAACAATATTGATCTCATAAAATCAGAACAAAACTTGTCGAATTCGAATAAAATTATAGTCCATAGATAAAAATACTTATAAAAAAGTACTGATGATACCAATTAAGTAAGTAGCACATATATACTAAAAAGTAATAAATAATGAAAATAAAATATGATAAATGTTAGGTGTTGAAGTTAAAACCTAAATCTAAACAACTTCTAATATTATTATTATATTTTGGTCACATACTAATTTTATCATTTATATAATAAGTTTCTTCAATTTGTCAAAGGGGTTGAAATTTAAGCTCGATTGTTAATGAAAAAAATTTGAAACAAAACAAAAATATCTGATGCGAGTATTAAGTCACAAAAAAACCTTAGGTTGTATAAAATGGACGGTACACATTTAGTTCCTAAGTTATCAGTTTTGGTCTGTTTTTGTATTTTAATTTTTTTTAAATCACATATAAAGTTTAATTTTTTTTTCATTTTAGTACCTCATTCAAAATTTAACGTTAAATTTTAAAAAATTAAAAATTTATGTACTAAAATAAACCAAAACTGATAGTTTAGGTACTAAGTACTTTAAATTTTTAATAATAAATACTAAAATAAAATGAAAATTAAATACTAAGTATGATTTTTAAACAATTAAAAATTTAAATAATTAAACAAATCAAAATTATTAATTTAAATATTAAATATGTATTTCACTTTAAATGGTGTAAATTGGGTTGAGAGGGTCGCTATCACCTCTTTAGTACTCGATCTGAATTAGTCGGTCAATAGATCTAATACTAGTAATTAATTAAAAAAAGATTTTTATTTAGTGGGATTAAACATAATTATGAGCTTGAGATTAATGATTGTGATGTGAAAGGGAAGTTATAATTAAAGATATAATTAGTGTTAGGTGTTTATAGACAAACGATATTTTGAACACATACCAAAGAAATATTATTATATAAATAAAAAATATAAATTCATCGAATAACATAAATTAATCATTAGATAATAAAAGTAAACTATTTATTAAAAAAAATCAGTTATACGGCTTAAAAATATGAATAAACAATAGCATCAACCATAAAGAATAAATATTAGGGTAAACTACACGGTTGACCATTAAATTATGGTAAAAAACTATTTTAGCCTTTGATATTTTAATTTAATCAAATATACCACACAGCTTTTTAAATTGTTCAATCAAGTCACCCTATGTTAAAATTTAAAGGAGATAATACCGTGTCAGTTAAATATTTCGGAATAATAACAAATTATTAATTTAAAAATAAATATAATAATAATTATATGTAAATTGAAATCTTATCATAATTCAAATACGTTATACAATATATTTAGAATGACTATAAATATTTAATAAAGTTAATATGAAAGTTCAAATCAAATTATATGCACGAACTAACTTATCTCAATGATTAAAGAAATCGTTGTTGTTTATAAAAATTACAGCTTCGAGCGTCAACGACTATAATAGGGTATTTAAGCGTTTATTATCAAATAATAAAAAGTATTTAGAATATATTATTTTATAATTACCTTACTTTAATAAAAATTTCAAATTTACATTGATAAAATAATTAAATATTCAAAAAGTTATGATAAAAAAGTTAGATATTCAAAATCATATTATTAAAATAAGATTATACAATCTAGTAAGAACAATCCAAAATTTTAATTGGATTAAAGTTAGGGATAAATTATATATTTAATACTTAAATTATAAATTTTAATCTGTTTTATTTTAATATCACATTCAAATTTTAATAAATTTTGTTAAAAATAAAAAAATATAAATATTAAAATAGACTAAAACTGATAATTAAAATCTTTAAATTTTTAATGAATGGTACTAAAATGAACAAAAACTAAACTAATAATTTAAGTAGTAAATACTTAATTTAGTACTTAAATTTAATATTAATGATCTAAAAGTGCAAAATATCATTTTTACAAAAGTAGTACAAGTTAATTATCCAACCCTAATTTTCATTACCATTCATAAACCTTACATTATCCACGATATCTTAGTGGGAAAAAAAGGTAAATTAAAAAACATAAATCAAACTTTCCAGGAATCTAGGGTGGGAAAGCTCGGGAAAATTTCACAATCTAAGCTAGACCCGACAACTGCTCCGGAAAACGGTTGCTGATGATCCAACAAGACCGCCGATGTGTCCAGCGTCGGTAAAAATCCCGGTCCAACAACGTTCGGCAACCGGTTGTTGAGTCTCTGAGGCTCAGGCTTGAGGACCGGATTCACCGGCATCTGTCCGTCGCCGAATCTGACTCCGGTCACCTGCTGCACCATCTGCCTGAAATTAGCCGGATCCGCCGTTATAAACGTGGTCTGAGACCGCTTCGAGGCCCGCCGCTTCCGTTTGGAGACTTTCCCGGTGGGAGGCGGCGGATTGGCGGCGGTGCGCTGTCGTTTTGGAGATGTTTCCGGCGTGGGCCAGGCGACGGTGTTGACGAAGGAATCGGAGATTGACTTTTGGAGTGCTATAGTTAACGCCTGGCTGTCGCGAGAGAAGGCCTCGGTGATCCAGGAATCGGCGAAGGATGAATGAAACGACGGCGTTTCGATGCTCGACTGGTTTTCTGGTGACGCCATCTGGTGGGGCTGTGCTGGTGTTAAGCTTTCTTAGCTGTATTTACTTGAAACAAAAAGTGTGAAGAAAGGAAGGAAAGTGGAAAAAAGTGAAGAAGAAGAAAAGAATCATACAGTTAATGGGATTTTCTTGGATACCAAACAGAGAGTAAATTGGCGTAGAAAATGTGAAGAAGGAAGCTTTTATGGGACGCTGTTGGGGAAGGGGACGAAGAAACCGCGTCATTGTGACAGGAGGACACGCGTCAGCGCGGTTGACTTCAAATTCAAACAAAAATACTATAGTTGTACTGTGGAATTTTTATTATTTTTTCAATATATTCGAATTTAACGGTTAAAAGATTTATTTTTTATTATTTTTAAGATTTTAGGTTCGAGCATAATATATGTAATAATATAAATATTTATTTAAATAATTTTAAACATATATCACTTTGTATTTAAGAATTATATTGATAGGATTGAATTTTTTAAAATAAATTTGAGTTCAAATCGGATTTGATTTTTAAAGGGTAAGATTGGGTTGAGTCGAGTTCAAGTGGAAGGTGAAAAAATTTCAACCCGACCCGAGGATAATAATGTAATTTTCATATAAAATTTATTAATTTTTAAATCAAGTCTTTATTTTATACGGGTCAGAGTCATGTGAAAGATATATATTTTTTAGACCATGTCCGATGGAAGATATAAAATTTTCCAGTAGGAGTCAAGTGGAAGACATATGTTTTTCAGATTAAATCAAACCGAATAGAGGATATAAATTTTTGGAACAGATCGTGTAAGGTGAAAGCTACATATTTTGGGTCGAGTTGGTTTGATAAAAAACTTATCCCTAATCCAACCCGTTATCATCCCTAAACATACATGATATTCTAATCAACTTAGACTAACGAAAAAATATGAACCGAACTGAATTATTAAATGTAATAAAATCTTCTCGTATCAAATATTTAATAAAACCTTTTTAATTTTTTTAAATCTTATTTTAATAATTATATATAAAATACTTATTTTATACAATAAATAAAATAATATTTAAAATTAATATAAATAAATTACTCTCATTATTTAATGTTAGTTTTTAGATTAAATATCAACTTGTCACCCTTTTCTAGTTAATATCAACTTGTAACTTTAAATATTGAAATTTATATAAGAAAATATAAATTCTATATTTTAATTTGACCGTCAAAGGAGTGTTAGCTATAGACTCACATTCACACTCACATTCACCATATCATTTTATTTTAATTAATATTAAAGCTATTGATTTTAAAAATTATTTCAGAGAATCTGTCTACACAACTACTTCAAAGTAGTAATTTTTTTTTTCTTGGTCACTAAAAATGGCCTTTATATTTTATCTATACTATTAATATTTTACCGTACTCAACATATTAAAATGTTGGGTAAATTACACATTTAGTATCTTGCGTATCAATTTTAGCCCATTCAAGTACCTAAACTTTTAATTTTTTCAAAACCATATATAACATTTATATTTTGTTTTATTTTAATACTCTACCGTTAAAAACTTTTAATTTTTTTCTAAACTTAACATTATATTTTGAACAAATACTAAAATGAAACAAAATCTAATATTTAAGTATTGTTTTAAACAATTAAAAATTTAAGTACTAAAACAGACAAAAACTGATAATTTAAGTACTAAACACATAACTTACCCTTAAACTTTTACACTTAATAATTATAAACAAAAATGTTTTAACGTAAAAGATATAAATTTATAGAAGTATTTTAGTTGGAATATAAGAGATTTGTATATAAACTAATCAAGTATCGTCTTTGAATCTAAAACGTTAAATTTTGATTCTTTTATTTAAAGATTACACCGAAAGTGTAAAATTACAAAAGCACCCTTACTTAATATTCATCGCCATTTTTAAAAAGTTTTTCTCGATAAACTACGCGTTTAGTAACTAAACTAAATTTTGATCCATTTTAGTATCTAAACTTTCAATTTTTTCAAAACCATGCCTAACATTTAATTTTCATTTCATTTTAATATCCGTCGTTAAAAACTTAACGCATTTAGTATCTAACTATCAATTTTAGTAGGTAGACTTTCAATCTTTTCAAAACTTAATGGTAAATTTTGAACGGGATACTAAAATGAAACAAAAACTAAAATTTTTAACGAAAGGTACCAAAATGAAACAAAAACTAAACTCTAAGTAAGATTTTGAAATTTTAAAAGTTTAAGTACGAAAACGGACCAAAACTGATAGTTAGGTACTAAACGCATACTTTACCCAAAATTTTAAGTCATTTTTCAACTAAATATTCATTTCACTCGTGATACCAACTCAGTCAGGAATTTTATAACAAGTATGAGTCACCAATGACATTTAAAAGTTCAATTTTTGAACCTCCATGATAATAATCCCATTTAAACATACCATAGATAGGTTGCCTCCAAGTACCTGCAACAAACTAAATATTAACATCCACCAATTCTGAAACCCAAAACTCTAGAACTGCTAATGATAATTGAAGTTTCATCCAGATATGTCGATTGAGCCGCTACGGTTAATTCGGGTTTTAGAAGTTTCGAATCATTTCAGGTTCAAGTCAGTTTCAAGTTCAAGTTGTTTCCTTTTTACCGATTGGTTCGGGTCATTTCGAGTACAAGTCGTTTCTGGTTTAGGATCGAAACTCAAGGGGTTTTAAAGAGTGTTCGAGGCATATCGGAAAAATACCTTGACCACGGAAGAATTTTAGGATCGAAATAGCAGAGGGTAGGTACAGCAAAATCCACTGCTCCAGCACTGCAACAGAAAAAGAGAGAACGTATCTCAATGGACCACGGGAAACATGAATTTCCGGCTAGTTGCAACTCACCGCCGAGATTTGGATTCCGTACGAATTATACAGATTCAAATCTCCGCACCTCTAAAACCGTAAAAAAAATCCGACCAAAGAGTGTAAGTGATAAGAGGATGACATGGAAGAGGGTTTACCACAGAAAGCAATGGCCCTTGTTTGAACTTGTTGTGAAAGGAAAATGCGATCGGCTTTGGATTGTCGCCTGGACCTCTTATAAATCCACTGAATCCACATTACAGCAACAAGAAAATTGATTAGCAGTTAAATGTATAAATATCATACGGGGAGAGAGAGGGATGGGAGATAAGTTTGCATTAAAACGAAGAATCGTCTAAAATATTAGATGATTTCACTTGTTTATCAATGGATACGTGGAATCGACTGTGATTTCTTTGTCAACAATCTACCAACCACAAACGAAAAACACGAGGCAAGAAGCGGAGCAGAAATGAAGGGGTGTCTAGGAATGAAATGAATACCATGGAATGCTCCACGAAAGCCGTGTCTAGTACATATTTTCCTAACCAAAAGGGCAAGTACATAGTAAGAGAAGCGGTGACTCACATTAGCGATGCAGAAATCAAGGGGTTCCTCCTCGTATCATATATCGCAATGAGACCTTTGTAAATGTCATCCCCTCCTTTATATGACACTGCTAATCGCTCTCCAGAAGCATCCCAGGCCATCTTCTCAATTCCCTGACTGCATGACAAAATATTCGAGATTATATGAGCTAGTAAAATCAACAATGAGAAAAGCTTATAGATACCCGAATGACATGCAAACATCTTTTTACTCTTAGCTAATTCAAAAAAGATCCTTTATTTCTTTGTTTTTTTTTTAAGAAAAGAAAAGGGAAAAAAGTAGGTGAGTCGGGGACGATTTGAATTCGAAGCCCCCATTTGCAAGTTACGCCTGCTTACCATTAAGCTGGTACCTTGACCAGCTCAAGTTATCTTAATAATAAATATCTGCAAAATTACAAATTAAAAGATAACACAAACAAGAAAACCAACTTCACGTACCTGCCTGTCAAAGATAATATTTCTGGCAAATCAACTGGTAATAAGTGGGCATCTGAAGAGAATCAAGGACAGGAAATTATTTACATGCCACTCATTACAATGCATCTGTCTACAACTGAATAAAATCCAAGGGACTAATACGAATGGTTCGTTTAAAACATGAAAGCATGATTTTATACGAAAGCAAGTATAAAGGAAGGCTCGTTGCAAGGTAAGAGTCATGGACACAGGATGCGAGTGAAGGATTTTTCTTATTTTTTTATTTATCGAGAAAAAAAGTCACCATTGAATGTAAATTTCATTCCTCAATGCCACCAATAGAAGGCCGAATTTTGAAAAATCGTTAATTACAGCAAAAGATTGGGTAGCTAAAATTCCTTAATTACAGCTTACATACCCAATGATGGAAGCTTTGATGCAAAGTGTATAGAACCCAATTTTGAAGACTTAGAGAAAGCAAGCAGGACCATACGACCATCAGGATCCCAAGTCGCACCCTGATAACAACAAACGACTGATCACTAAATCCTTAAACAGGTAAAATCTACTGTCATGTCGGCAAGTTCTGTATCTCTGACATGGTTTAAAAATCATCATACTTACAGTGACAAAACCACTGGCCGAAGACCATGGTTCAGAAGTCCATGTGTTTGTCTCCCAAAGATAAAAGGTTCCATCACTGCAACATGATAGAGACATTAGCAGATATTTTTTGATCGGAATTAGACATAAAGCTTAGGGAACATGTTAAGTACATACAATTTCCCAGAAAAAAAGTAATCTCCAGTCGGAGACCATTTAACCACCGATGTTCCCCCTAATCCCCGTCGAATGGGTGTCCCAATACCTGCAAAATCCATCCAAAACTTTGATTAAAATACCAGAAGAAATAATATCTAAATGAATATATATTTAAGACGATAGTAGAAATATATTTTTATGCAAACTGGTTACAGTATGAAACAATGATGATCATTTAGGGATGTCAAGGAAAAGAGAGAAATTTAACAAATAAACCTATCAGCTTAGTGCTAGGGTTCCTTAGGAGTCGCATCTAAGGTTTAGTCTTTGGTGTTTTTTATCCAATGACTATGATGTACATGAAGCCATAACTCCATAATCCAATATAAAGTACCTGATACTTACAGATTAAAAAATCATCAGCTTTTAACTGAAAATCATAAGATTAAGACTTAAAAGCAACTAATCAAGCCTATCCAAACTCCCAACTAAGTTTCTAGCTTTCTCGTTGAATGAAGAGCTTTCATATGAGGCAGAGGC